CACCGCATGAGCGACCACAATCAACATGACCAAAGTGTCAAAAACATGAAGTTCGCATTAGAGTAAGTGTTGTTTCTATCTCAGAGAATTGTATTTAAAAATCACCTTTCAAGCCGTATACTGTTTGTCAGCTTCTGCTAAACGTACAGCACGTCAGCAAAACTGAAACGATGAGAAATCTGCATTTGCACAATTAGTGAATGAATTGTTACCGGATCAGTTTGTCATCTACAGTCACGGATGAGTCTGTTGGCTGTCAAGAAATGATTTTGATCTCTACTGACCTTTTTTCCCGGCGGCTCATACGAGCAAGTGTGATGCAGTTCTTATTCCACTGCTAATTCAAATCCTGGTATGAGATGATTCAGTCAGGAGTTGCGGTTTTGGTTTAGTTCAAAAACATGAGATCTGATGATCGGGGAACTGCTATGTGAATGACCGAAGGTGAAGTCCTGACAGCAGTCTGCTGATAATGAATGCACGCAGCACTGTGGAGGGGAAGTGAAACCAGTTCGGGGTTAATAAAGTGTGTATACGGGTGGAAGTTACAGTTCCATACAGTGGGGGGTTACTGAAACTAAAACAAAAATCTGTCAATGTGTCCTTTCCAGAAAATGTGTAAAGGGAATTTATACAAACAGATAGGTGCCTTACAAGATCTAACTATCTGCAATCCTGTTGTAAAAAGATTGAGAGCTGTCAAAATGACACATCCAATTCTAAAAATATACCCACATTGGCAACTTTTCTGAAGGAAAATTCATCCCTCACACCACCAACAAGTCTGTGTCACATGTCAGAAGATAAAAATCACAAAACTAATCAAGAATTGCCTCAAAGAAAAACCACAATCAGTTCAACAGTTGCAAGACCAAAAGATGTGGGACATCTGGAAAGAAAGTGAACACTGTCCGCAATACGAGGTGTTTTTACTCTTTGGCATGTGACACAGTGGCAAACAACCGACACAACAGATGGTAAAAAGACTGACATGTCCCTTTTCTTTTTCTCATCTCACCCACTTTGACAACTGCTGTGGCATGTTTCCGTGACCAACAGGGGCACAGAGTGTACACAGAGAAGCAAAAGATGAATGTTTATGGATGACTGTATTATTTAATGAAAGTGACAACACTTGACTGACATCCTGAAGTCACTTTTCAGCAAATTAATCATATCTGTGGGTGTGCTGTCACCCTCTGCACATATATATATATATACACACACATATATATATATGAATCCTGCTCATCCACATGCCTCCTTTCTAACAAATGGGGAGGAAGAAGAGGGCCTGTCCTCACTGCAGAGCTTCAATGAACAGTTTCAGATTGACTGTCATTAATAAAACTGTGATTACTGACAGTAGTTGTTGTGCTATGTTAGTCCCTGGAATCCTAACAACCACCGTTTGTCATGAAAGATGCTGTGGATTGAGGACCACCTTTTACCATCCTGTGTCTCTTGACCATATATTTAACAGCACCTACTTATTAGGATTTATTTATTTGGGTTGTACTTGATTTCACACTAGCCTCTGGGTTATATCAGGCACAGAGCTATAGCTTCTTCACCTAATGACTGAGTCATTCATCTTCCCCTGGATCACATCTCACTACAGCTACCAGGGAGGGGAGCAGAGAGAGGGAGAGAAGCACTGAGACAATGATGGAGACATATCAGGTTTTCAACCTTGCTGCCAGTGTAGATATGAACAGCCATTTCTGGGTAGAGCCTGTCTGAAACCCAATTCCACCACATCTTTAAAAGCTTCAGGAAGTCCCACTGGACTCCATTCAGTTCCTCGTGTCACAACCAATTTCCCCTCCGAGCCATTTTGCCCTCACTATTTCTCCTCTTAATACACTAGGTGAGGCAGTGTGGAGGTTTGTTTCTGTAATGAAAAAAACACTAATTCCAAGTATGAAGGACAAAGTTAAACAACACCACAATGGTTTAGGCTTTGAGATGCTGTGAATGAGGAAACTTCTCAACACACATAATATTCAAAGTCATGAAACAGTAAAATGAAGTGATAAGACCGGCACACTGCAGAATGCAGGAACTATCACAGTCATTGTTAACTGAATATAAATATTTCTCCATCAACATTACTGGGAATACAGCCGCACCACTGCTGTGAAGAAAAAAAGTCTTCTTCTTTTTCATCCTTGATCTGAAAATGTACAATGTCATTCAAGAGCTGAGCGAGTTTCATGACCCAGAAGTCCTTGAAACCTCGAATCAGAATGTGTCACTGTGAACGTGTCGTTTCAGAAATGTCTATACCTGTCACTGGGGAAACGGGTCTTGCTGCACAATCCTCAAAAAAAAATTAATACTGCAGCCATACGCACATTAACTGCTTTGATAAAAGCTAAGCTGTGTGTTGTCGCCAGATGTTGGCGGTATTGGCTACGTCACACATGGCTACAATAAACAGCGAAAGACATCAGGGAACAAAACAGTTGTTTGGCAACCACTAAATAACAAAAAATAAAACTGGACATCTATGAGAAACAAAAGGCTTTTCAATCGGTTAAGGTTAGGGAAAGATCATCGCAACATCATTCTACATGTTTGTAAGCTGGGACAGACATTATCCACACAACCACAGGAGGTTGTTGTCAAGAGAATATAAAATATGTTGTTTTAATCATTCTGAATATGACTGGCATGTCAGAATGGAGGTATCTTTTTCTTTAAATACGGAAATGGAGGCTAGACGCTGACCTAGGCCAGGGTTTTTCCTGAACAGAGGAATTTTGGCACCTCTCCAAAGAGGTTTTCACCAGAACCAAAGAAAAGTCGTCAGCGCCAAAATGACAAATGACAACAATTTTTTTGAATCAGTTTTGTCAAATAATCTTTGGTTATCAAATGGTCAGAAATAACAACCATCAAATAAGGTAATAGACTAATTGCTTTTACTGTACGTGGACCAATCATGCTCTGTGTCATCCCTCAAAATCCTTTTGTGAGCCAGGAAACACCCTGTATTCATGTTGTGATGCGAGAACAGCCGACACTGTACGCTGCGACATCCCTCTGCAATTAGTGCCACTTTATCTTTTTTTGATTCAGCTGCTCTGATGACCCTCAGCAACGCCACAAAGACAAATCCTGGCACAGTTAATATTGTGATTCCGACTAAAACTGCTCAATGTGCAGTTGGTGCACCATGTATAATTTAGTGCAGAAGACAGAAATGTGGCATCACTTTGAACAACCGAGCTAATTATCAACCCCATACAGTCCCATGCAGCACAGTGGATCCCTGCACAGGCTTCTTTGCAACATATGCTTAGTAAACACTTTCCGGGCCCTCTCCTCCTCTGTGACTGCGGTCGGGCATTAGCTTTAATCTGCCAATACCTGCAAATCCCCCTTCCGCATCCCACACACACACTTTCACCTTGGCAAAACTGAAAAGGTTATATTTAAGAGGGGACCGGGTTTTTTTGGCACATTTCCGATCAAGTCTTCCGCTTTAAATGCCTCCCACGTTCATACGAACCCGGAGAATGACCGCTGTCGACCCCTGCTGTACTGCCAGAACAGTTCTGCTCCACAGGCTAAAGTGACGGCCTCAAGCACTGAGTGGCCGTAGGTGTGTTATGCAAGCCTAATGGATGAAAAGATCATTGTTTGCGAGACGCCCACAGAGATGGTTCATGTAACAGATCCACTTGTGAAATCGCAGCTTTTTAACATTTGGGTCTTGGCTTTAGAGGTGGTGATAACTGCTGTGAGTTGATGGCTGAGAGCAGGAGAGCAGAACATAAATCTTAAGCCCTCTGAAGGTGCTATAGATAATTATTATCTATTAAGGAGCTGAAGTCTGCTCTCCAACACTCCACTTTATTTAAAAACTATGCAAATCCTAAGCAAAATGTTTGTTTAATACAACCTATCTTATCAGAAAAAAGAGAATTATATGGAAATCGTGCGATACTCTGAGTGACTTCAACCATTTTAACTATGCTCGAGGGGCGACAACAAAAACATTTCCCTTCAAGGCTGCTGACAAAGCAGCTGTTGGCTGTCCAAAAGTTTTAAGATGCCATGACTTAGATTAATGTTTAAATACAGAGATGTGACCTCGCTTTATACAGGACACTATAATTTACAGTTTAACTCTTTACGTTTACTCCCCTTATTACTAAATTATAAGAAGAAAACAAACATTTATCAAAATGTATATTTTAGTAATTATACCTTCTCACCCTCTCAAGTGTTTGGTAAAATGTTTTTGTGGGAGAAACTAGATTCTGATGTAGAATTTGTACACTTAAAGGAGAATGTAGCAGGTCTGCTGAGCAGCTTGGAATGCTAGCGTGCTGACAGTGGTTGTGGTATGACACAGGCTCACAGAGTATTTATGAAAAGCGAGACCCTGAAAATACTTTACCTCTATACGACTGCAGGTATGCAGATTTATGAGTGGCTATTTTTACGTTGTGACATTTTACAGAAATATCTTGTCATTTATGTTATGAGAAATTATTGTCTTATTCTTTGTTTTGTCATAGTAGCGTGGAATCGTTTATTTGATCACTCAAAGCATTCCCATTTTATGCAATTGGAAAAAAGTAATTTCAAAATTTGTTTAAAAATACAGTTGTATTCACTTTTCTCTAACTTTATAAATCGTTGATCTGGAAGCAGTGGTTTTTCTTCAGTCAATCTATTTTGCGACAAGAAAAAAAGGGGGTAAAACTTTTCCTTTGAGAAATGAGATAAGCAGGTGTATACCGTAACTTTTGGTATTCACTCTGCAAACAGTGTTTTCATAAAATGAATTATCAATGTTTACCTCTGTGGATAAGAATAAACTGATAGGAGAGAAAACAAACTTTTTTGAGTGAGAGCAAATTAAAGTTGACTCTTTCTGGCCAGTCCAGGATATGCTTCCTTAAATGGGTTTTGAAGGGAGGAAGCAGTTCGCATGTTAAAAGATCAAACCTTCAAACGGCCCCTAAAATGGCCGATGATCTTACCTGCTTCTGGGCAGAAACATGGACTCCTTGATGAAAACGGAGCCGGACAACAGGATGTACCAGCAGCTTCCAATGTCATCAGGGCTGGAAGACAGAAGGAGTGACACAAATTAGCACAGAATACAGTGACGATGATGACATCTTGACAGGAAAATGTAATTACTATGAACAGTGAATTGAGCGAGGAGGACTTGTTAAAAACTGATACGGGCTGATGTGAGACCTCAATGTCAAAATCAGATCATTTTGCAACTGTGAAGAAATAAACTGTTTTCCACTGCACCGCACGGCAGCCCAAATATTTGTGCATGCTCCGACTGCAGGAATCAGCCCCGTATCACCTTTATCAGAGCTGTTTTTGGGGGAAGAAAAAAGTACCGACTCAAAGTTTGAATATTAAAAATGACATTTTACCTTTTAAAATAATTTGTCTAGAAATTGTAGCTCTTTCTGAAACAATTACTACTTTAGTTGAATCAACAATTTTTATTAATTGATCAATGAATCCAAAAATATTCACACATTAAGACATCTCAAATCAGAGTTTTTAAAGGACCAATCATTTTGCTTTGTCATTTCCTTAACCTACATGCTTTTCTGCTGGTGCTGTGACTTAATGCATCAGCAGTATGAAACTCCTAACTGTGCCAAGTGACTTTAAAAAAAGAAAAAGAGAGAAAACATGAGAAAGATAAGAGTGCAGAGTGTTCGAGACACAGAGAGAGAGAGAGAGAGAACTATGAATGAACTGAAGACTCATTTCTCATCCACCCACACCCATGGCCCTGCTGAAACACACAGACAAGGAAATTGGGCATCACAGACAAAATGAACTCAGACTGACCCCCTGGATGATGCAGCAGGCTGTCAAGTCCTTACAGCATGACTAGTAAACAAACACACACAGTAAACACTGCTACCACACTTAGAATACACTTTTGCAAATTTTATTTAAATCAAAGACACTTTTTTTTTTCTTCAGGTTTTAAGAATTAAGTGGCATTGCTTGTGAACCGCCGGCCTTATTAAGGGACATCAAAGGTTCTGCTGAGGAGGATTTGCCGACAGATAAACAACTCCCTCAACATCACTTTCAGAAATTAAATTAGGACTGTCACTGTTAATAAACCGCAGTTGTAACGTTGAAAGGACATCGCAGATTTCGAAACGCATCCGTTTTGTTTCGTTGCTCGGCTCACTTATCCTTGGGCCTTCGCAGTGACTACAGGGATTGCAGGGAGATAATCTCACAAGGCTGAATCATCTACGCTTGGTATATGCAGGATTATTGAAAAGGCTGGATGTGTTAATCTACTGAGAATGCAAACAAATGCCACGGAGACAGATAAAAACTGTTAATGCTTGCTTCCATCTATATGGAGTGGGCTAGAGGGCTCAAAGTGTAAACATTACATATGCAAGATTTAAATGTCATGGGAGAAGCTGCTGCTCAAACAATCTTTGTGATTATTGTGCTGTTGTCAAGTTTTAGTTGAATTTATTTAGTTAAATATAAGACTCTGTGTGTCTGGGTAGATTTTACCAGAGGCACAGTGTGAGTTTTTCAAAGCTACCTAATGGCGATTGAGGAAATTTAGGCAAATTTGTTATTTGATTGTCGATCAAACATGTCACCTAACAGTCCTCTGACAGTAAAGAGGAAGGAGCGATCCAGAGAAGGAAGTATTTGCATGCTATGTAACACTGATACCATCTTTCTCCGCTGAAGTTTCGGCAGTTGTAGACAAAAATAGGCATGCTGGTAACCAAAACCTGCTTTCATTTTGCTGCCACGGTCCTTAACAACATAAACTGCAGACGAGTGAACGGACTGGCACAGCTTAAAAACGGTTTTAACTAAAACTGTGAGATATAACTGTGCATGACTACGTTTTACTTTCTGCATGGAAAGTACAAATGAGAAGATAATTCTAATAAAATCATCTTTCCTCCTGCAGGGAACTGTTGACAGAACGCTAGACAGAAGATTTAAACTACTCTTATGTCTGTGCAGTAATTATAAAGTTACAGACAGAAGGTGGTCATTTCGGCACTCGGACTGGAATCAACAGGAGAGTGATAGCTTAGATCCAAAGGCAACAACTTCCACCTACGAGCACCTCTAATGTGCACTTATCACCCGTTATGAATGCTATCAGCCCATTAAATGGTTGTTATCGTTGCAGATTATTCCCATACATATAGGCCAGCAGGAACCTCCTCCACCTCTTAGTAGGCTCAGTAGGCGCATTATCACCCCATTTAATGGAGCGCCATTATCATCTCATTTAATGGCGGAGGATTTTGCACTTACAAAGATGGACTAAAGTCAACATTCAAGGGTTGGAGGAGTTGGTGGTTTCGTTATCTTGGAACTTTATTGCAGTTTAATTTCTTTATTTAAGTCTAGTGTTGACATTTGCTTTCGTTCCGTGTCTACTTGAGTTCCTAATGGTCCATATGTACGAGATTAATAATTGCTATTTAATGGGCTGATAGTGTCAGAATTGGGTGACTTATCAATAAGTTATTTGTCGAATCGGCATACAGACCAAATTGTAAAAAACAAACAAACAAAAAAAATGACAGCTTCTCCCTACTGTTAGCCTCTGAGCTAAATAAAGCTAAAGAGCTGCTGGCAGGACTTTCATATTTACCGAGCAGACATCTGAGTTGTCTCAAAAAGGACATCACTTTAAACAAATTATATATTTACCGGTTTGCTACCAATCTGAATCAATTCAGATATTAACGTTATGTTTTACCTTAAAGCACAAAATCGATTATTTGTTTTGACGCATAGCATTAGCTTAATGGGAAATTCAAACAAATGCCTCCGTATGATGCCTCCACCTGCCTGTTTAGCTGTTGGTACTTTGAAGCGCCACCTCATCAAAGAGGATCTGCTCATCAAGGTGAAATCAAACCCCGCGCTTGAAGCCACCCTGGTGTTAATAAGGCAGCAGCTTGAGTGATAATCACTGAGCATTTTCACCTGCTCTAAGTGTGACTTTTTAATTAAAACCGGAATAGGAGGGGAAAGAGAGAATCAATGACCAGTCACACATCAGCAATGTGGGACTGGCTTTTGCTTACAGAAAGGTAAAGGATGGGTGCTCTTATTATACACAGCTGCTCCCACACAAACACATCCATTCACACCCATCATCACTGTGCTGACTAAGTTTGTTTTTTTTTAATCACTGAGAACAAAGTCTCGCCCCTCCTTCCTCCTTCACTCCACACTTTTCCTTGTAGAACTAATGAGGCTGTAGACAGCACACCCTACTGATCCAGAGCAAAATCACTCTCGCTTCCTACAAAAGCACCCCTTCTTTTTTTTTTTTCTTTTTTCCTTTCTTCTGATCTCCATCTGTCTCCCCACATACTCGACCCATTCCTTGATGTGGCTCTTCTTGCATTCGGACACAACACGAATGAAATGCTCAATTATTAATTACCGGCAAGCAGATGTACCAAGCGAGGGAAGCACCTCGCAGGGCTGAGGAGGAGGAGGAGATACGACACCAAAAAAAAAAAAAAAAAAAAGTAGGAGATAGAAGACTCTTATGCGCCACGACAACTTGACTGAACTAGGTCACGCGTACTGGAAGCGATAGTCAAACGCTAAACATCATCCACCAAAACCCCCACAGGAAAGCCTTTAACAGCGGGGAAACGGGTTATGCGAGTGCCATGGAGGCGGTGGTAGGGGTAAAACGGTGGCGGAAGAGCGATTATAGCATGAAGACTTGCATGAAATGAGGTTTGACTCCTATGAAACAAAACAGTTTCATTCAAGACTGAAAAGTCCCTTTTGGAAATGGAAATTGAGACGTATTTTGCTGTTGAGAAATCGCTACGTAGGCTCAGATGTTCTTATTCAACATCTTTTAACACAGTGTAAGCATTTAGTTTTGAGAGTTACCAAGCCACCGTATATTGTGCAAAGGCCTGAAGACTCTGAGACCTTTTAAACAGCATCACTTTTTTTGATCACCTCATTGCTATTTTTTCAAATTTTTTCTAATTTCTCATAAAGTTGAGCTAAAACTAATTACATTTTTCAGTATTCTACTGAAGAAAATGCTGCCAGTTTGACATGTGAGAGACCTCGGGTGTGAATAGATTTGCACAGACGTTGTATGTCTAATAAGAGCGGACAGTAATTTACAAACAGCACGACTGCTCTCGAATATATCTATTAACATAAATAAATAAACGCCATGCCTCTAATTTCGTCCAAAAAGACTTTCCTATGTTCGATAAAAAGCTGTATATTTCTGTCTATTAATAGAGCTGCAATTATATGCCTTTCTGATTTATTTTCTTCAGCATCCGTCCTTTATTTCACAGACAAAAGTCCATCCACGTATGTTTCGTATCATATATTTGACAAAATATATTATTGAGAAACTAAAATTTAGAGAATGTTTTAAAATCTTGATTAAAAAAAAGAATGCATTAATTACTAACAGATTCTCATAATAGTTGCTGATAGATATCCTGAATGAACTGTTTGTTTCAGAGCCGCAAAATGACCTCGAGGCAAAAGTGATTTACTCATTCAACACTTGTTAAGCATAAAACCATACATTAGTTGTAGCAACAATGCTGCAGGGTCATTTCTGTATTTAAACATGTAATGAGAGAATCTCTTTGACATTAGTAGTCGACCAATATTAGGCCTGGCTGATTATCTGATCCAGTATTCAGCATATCATTATTTATTCAAATAAATTAACTTTAAAATGCCCTGCTTTGGCTCTGATGCAGTTTATCTGTCTGTAGTCCCCATTCTGGGATCTTGAGGAATGTCCAACCCACGGCATTATCTGATTGGTTCAACATTACAACCAACACAGAAGAATAAATATTGAAGGGTCTCTTTTAATTAACCCTTACCCTAACATGTGAAAAAACTAATATTCAAAAGCACTGCAACCAAGTTTTGTGTTTTGTATAATTCTAATGTTGACACCCACATTGTAATTCTTGCTGTAAATGTATACGGATTCTAAATATCAGCTAACGGTTTCCTTGATTGATAAAAATCAGGATTAGTATCAGCCCTGAAAAAAAAA